GATCCCGGTTTCCACGCATCACAGCGCCGCACAGTTGATCGTGGGCTCAGCTGTGCAGCATTGCTGCTTTGAAGTGTCCCCCTTTGCTGCCTCTATCTGAGGCAGCAAGGGTAGGGAGGGGGAGAATCGACTAGTCAACTGACTATCCCATAAGCATTTGCTTATTGGATAGTAGACTAGCCCTTAACATCCCTAATGTAGACACTCCACTGCTGCTCTTTTGAAATAGTCCTGCACCAAGGCCATTCTAAGTTATTCCTCCTGGGACTCTAAATTGAGATCGCAGGTCTACATTAGGGAAGCCTGCCTCGGACTAATTTTGAAGCTCCCCTGCAGTGTAGGAATGCTATTTCAAAATAAGCTATTTTGGAATAACTATTCTAGAATAGCTTGTTTTGAAATAGCCGTGCAATGTAGACATACCCTATGGGAGGAGCCAAGAAAGCCACTGTGTTAGTCAGTGGTCAAACTCATCAACTTGAGTGTAAGCAGAATCAGGTTCTAAAGCAGCAGCCTTGAAGGGAGGGATTGGAATGGCAAAGAGACTGCAAAGCATGCCATCTGGCACCCTGGCTCAGCTGGTGAAACATCTGCAGAAGAGATGGGGAGGAAGAGGAGAGGAGCTGTTGGTTCAGATCATCGGGCTAAAGGTTAATATTACAGTGTATCCATGTGCACTCACAGCCCAACACCAAAACACACAGAACTTGCAAGAGATGAGTTCTGCTTGGGTAAAAGTGATGTAGAAGCTGTAGGAGCAGAAGCCTGGCCTCAGGAATCAGAAGGCAAACACAATGCTTGTGTGTTCAATGAAAGAGATTAAGAGTCTGTGCATGAGCCTACAACATGTGTCCCCAAAGTACTCATATGACAGAAGGGAGGACAGATTCCCTCAGTAGATTTTTATGCTGCTCACACAGCCTGCCCCATCAGACTGAGAAATCTCCTGCTGACTCACAGGAGCATGGAGCCTTGAGGGAGAAAGAGAGAGATTTACTGGTCATTTAGTCCCATTATCAGAGGCTGAGACAGGACTGCTCCATATTGAGCCAGATTTCTATGGCCCAGATGACAGAGTTTGTTCAGTCCCTCCACTGGAGAGCATCATATCTCACATTCAGGACACTTATACTGAGATCCATGTTAAAACTCCTACTTTCATCCCTTTAGCATGTTGTTATAGATTTCATCTCTATCCTCAGACATTCCTGCAAGGTGGTTCTCTAGTTTGCTGCAGATGGAAGGCTTTGGGGTGGAATGGACAGCAAACCACCTTCAACTGAACACAAAAGCACTGGGCGGCAGAGTCTATCAATAAAAACATTCCACCAGTGCTCGTGAACTGCTGTACATGGAATAAGCAGGGCAGCCACCCAGGGCATGCAGCCTAAGACAAAGCTGGAGAACATTTTGAAGTCCACATGGCTAACTTTAAATAAAACAATGGACTTCAAAACCCCAGTAAGTTATTTATAGAGAACTAGCCAGAGAGAATTCTCCCTGCTCCACATTCAATTCTTTTGTTCAATGTTCAGTTCTTCCCAGCCAAGGGATGCATTTTTTCCTGTTTTTCTGCATTTTGGAGGTATTGTTTACTAAGCATATATTTCAACGTGCTGCTTGCCTGAGTGCATGGCTTCGATGGCTGATGCTCAGGAAACCAAGTCATTTGGGGATGGGTCTATCACAACAGTCAGCAGTGGGCTCTCAATAGTTGTCTATTGGCTGGCCACTGAACTGCCATATTACACTGTGTGAAGGGATTGCTAAAAGGATACAGTGAGGCTAGTCAAAGAGACTTGAATAGATGGAATCAGCTAATGAGTAGAGGAAAGATGATCGGGTTTCAGTCATGCTTCAGTCATTATAACAAACACCAATTTGGTTAACAAGCCTCTTCAGGTAACTTGCTAAAAGTATCTTGACTCCTAATTAAATTGAGTCTCCTTTGCAGGCACTTTTCCCCCTTACAATGCTTCACACACATTTTATTTATACCATCTATCTCAATAAACCTCTCCAACAACTCAGCTTTCCTACACAGAGGTCTTTTGTGCACATCCATGGGGGGGTATTATTTAAAGGGTACATCACGTGGTTATTTTATCTGCTTTAATCGGATTTAATCGCACTAGATTTACTCTAATAAAATATATTTATAGTCCTCATCATGCAAATGCCTCTCTTTCACTTGCATTTCCATCATTATAATATTTCTAAAGGGGAAGTGTTCTGAAACAAAATTCTTGAATTCCCAATATTCCCACATTAAGTGCCACAGGAGATAAGCATTCCAACTGCAAAACTACTCCTTCTATATTTATCTAGGGGCTACAGTTAGAAATTAACATTTAGGACAAAAGTAAGGGAAGGTTAGTAGCATGCGTTTCTAATCCTGTTTTAGATATTCTTGCAAATATAATGGTTTCAATTGAGCACCACGTGAGCCAGCAATAAAAGCAATTTCACATCTAAACAAACAGCTCTGGCTGGAGATTGTACAGAGCAAGTGTTAGGAAAGAGACTGGAGGAAGGATTGGAAAAGAGGATATGAAAACTATTAGTCACCATAAAAGTTTGTGGTGTGCTGACTGCAGCATAGTATGCTCTGAGTTGCACTCACAGAGACAGCTCTATATTAAAAACCCTGATTCTCTCAACAGATAGAAACAGAAGGAGGGGGAAAGGAGGCTGGATTTTTTCCTTTATTTGTGCAGTTGAAATAGCAAAGTAAATATGAGTAGAGTACAGTTGTGACTTTAAAGGATGCCTTCATCTTAGTATCTCTATTGCTGCTCTTTTATACACTGCCTTTCTCTCTCTCGCTCTCAAAAAAAAAAGAGTCAGGAAGATATTCTGAAGATCTAGTTTTGCAGCATCTCTGCTAAAATATGAATTGCCTAGAGTGAATGGTTGGGTGAACAGTGTAATAAGCTACATTTGAAGAAAGGGGTGTGACAACACAGGAGTGTGACAAGAGCCAGAGAGCTTAAAACTGATTGAAGAGCCTTTTAAAGCAAAGAAAAAATAGTTGGACAGCAGCAGACGTACTAATTTAAAAAAATCAAAGGTTGTCTACCAACACAATACCCATCCTCAGGGATTAAAAAACTTGTACATCCCACATTTCTGTTTCCCTCAATCCCTTGACTCCCCATTTCACTGTTCTTGGGTGCTTCCTCCAATTTTCTTCTGAACCGACTGCAATCCCTCCTCTACCCACACACTGGGGGGGGGGGGGGGAATAAAGCCTCTGCTTAAAGTAGTTATTGTACAAAACAGATTTAAACTCAAATTAATATCCCAGCCCTGAGGGGAAGAAGAATCCTTTCCCATCAAAGAAATACATCATTAAAAAGTGACCTACAAAGACTTAGCCACAGTCAGTGAGACTGAACTCAGCATTACTAGAGCTCACACAAGAGATTAGCTACGTGCTCTTCAAAAAACACAGAAAAATTGGAGCCCTCTCGCTGGAGGTCTATCCTCAGAGCTCTTCCCTTATTAGAGGTAAAGGCACATCTTCAAGAGGGACTTTATAGCAACGCTCAATGTAGTTGTAAGCCAAGATCAAGCAGGCTTGTTGTCAGCGGCAGGTCCTGGGGGGTTGGGTTTTTTAGTGTATTTGTTGGAAATGCAGCTCTGCTTGTAAAGCAAAAATTGAAGAGTCAATCGGGGGGCGGGAGGCTGCATTTTGGAGCTGCAGTGCTTGCCAAAGCAAACCCGGGGTGTGCTATCAACTTAGAGCCTGTCTTCAGGACAGAGGGCTCTTCTCATCAGCATGTGTTGCTGGTCAGCTTGGCTGCCCTCCTTGAAGCTGAAGGGATAAATAATCTATGTCTGTGGGAACCGCACCACGCTGGGTGTCATCTGCTCTTGCAGTTTGCTAGCCTCGCTGCCTGCATTCATTTGCAAATGGGCAACAACAACAACAAAAGCAGCTAAACCTGAGCTCTGCCAAGGAAATAATTTTAAAGCATGACAGCAAAGTAACTCAGCTCAGTAGGATTTAAAGGCAAAGTCACCCCTGCAGCCCTTTTCCCTCAGATCCGAGCACTGTGCACAACTAAGGGGCCGTCCCTGGAGATTTGGGGCGATGCTTTGTTAACTCAGCCAGGAGCATCCAACCTACACTTCGATCACGGAGCATCACTCTTATCTAGCTCCGATAGCCTCAATCCACGTGTGCTGAGACTTGCAGCAATTACCTGGGCAGCCGCTTGCTTTCCACCACATAACCCTCCCCCACCCCAGGGGACTGACATCCATATCCCCCCCCCAAGTGGGTCTGGCCCACGAAAGCTCATAATCTAATAAACCATCTTGTTAGTCTTTAAAGTGCTACATAGTCCTGTTTTTTATTGTATGGGTCTTTTACGACTCTCCCCGCAGCAGGTGACAGAGGGAGCTCCCAGTGCAATGGCCCTTTGTCAGACCAGCAGGCTAATCAAAGCCACTACGGTTCGGCGAGTATTCGGTGTGAACGCTCGACTCTAAGACGCACACTCCTTCCCCCCCCCCCCTAAGGGGAGGGGAGCGGAGGCCCCGAGCCAACAGGCGGGGTGGGCTCTCGCACCAGGGAAACAAGGCAGCCCAGGGGCAAACGAAACACACTCGGAGCCTTGCAACTTGGAGCTCTGGTTTGGCCAATGCCGAGACCAGCGCGCCGCCGAGTTTTGCCGCCCAGTCTCCGATCTGGTACGTCTCTTCCTCGGGCAAGTTTGGGGCGGGGAGCAGAGACCTCAGGCTGGCCCATGTGACACCAACTGCTGCTTTCTCCCTTGCACAGCCCCAGCTCAGAGAGACTCACAAAGGGTTCACGGCGCAGGGGGGCTGGGGCTGGAGGAGCCAAAGGGCTCTCTTGCGGCACCAGTCTCCAGCTCGGGCTGCGCCGCGCGGCGTTTACTTTCTCCTGCCGGTGCTTTTTAACTTTGATCTGATCCTCGCGGGGCTCGCCCCCCGCCGCCCCCCAAACAGGGCACCAGAGTAACGTCTCTTACCATAAACCCCTTCTCCCTCGATGTACGCCGGCACCACCGCCAGGAACACCAAACAAATCATCTCCATCTTCACGGCAGATCCCTCATAGCCGGCGAGGAAAAGCAGCCCCCAAAGCCAGGCAGCATCCGGCGGAGAACCGCGAAACCGGCGGCGAAAGCCCACGGAAATGCTCCTTCATCCGCAGCCCTTCCACCGCCTCTGAGCAGGGCGGGAGCCCGCGGAGCCTTGCCCAGGCACGGAGAGCCTCAGCCCGGCTAGCGAAGTCAGCCAGCGCCGCCTGGGAGTCTCCGAGCTCCACACAGTCAACTTGGACGAAGGGAAAAAATACCCCGAATAGTTAAAAATAAACGGAGGAAGGAAGGGAGAAAAACAAACCAGGGTCCCTCTGCTCTCCCAGGCTCCTTCGGAGCGCCAGGGAAATAAACACAAGCTCACACTGACACACACACACAATCAAACCGGAGCCCAGCAGACGCGGATCCAGTGGGGAGCAGAATCCAGGCAAACTCCTGCTGTTTCTCCCTCTCTCATCCCCGATCCTTTCGCGGGGGGAGGGACATTTGGTCCCAAAGAAACGCCAAGCGCTGCCTGAACTCCCAGGCTTCCCAAACTGCCTGCCAACTGGGGCCCACTAGAGAGTCCCCTCCGATAAGGAGGCGCTGGCTGAAGCCCCAGGCAGGAACGTGGGGGGGGGGAGGGGGGAAGGCTGAGACCCAGCTGGGTGGAATGGGGAAAAATAGGTGGCTCTTCTCCAGCTCTTTCGGGGAGGGGTGTCGTTGTAATTCAGTCAATCCAGGAAGGGCTTGTTAAACAGCAGCTGCCAATAGCTCCCCCAGCTGCTGAGATCGGGTCCCCAGCCTGAAATTGCCCAGGTGCACGGAATCACCTCAGCCCCACTAGCCTGCAGGGCGGGGGGGATGGGTGACAAGCGAGGAATAGCTACAACACACGCACCCAGCTTGGTGGTTTGCAGTTCAGCCTGGCTGGTCTCCCCTCCCCCTTTCTCTCCCTTCCCCCAGCCAACCTGGCAGATCTTTCTGGCTTCCGAAGTTTCCCTGAGCCCGTGCTGGCTGGTGGCTGGGATGGGGGCTTTTAAAGGGTTCCCCCCCTTTCCTTTTCCACCGGTTATGACCGGCAAAGCCAGTTGAGGTGCTAGGAAGGTGGAGAAAGTTGAATTCTTCTTGAAGGACGCTTTGTAGACATCGCTCGGCAGGTCCTGGCCCCGCCCCTTCGTCCCAAAGTGTGAAAGTCTGGGCAAAAGTCGATTCTTTTCTTCCGTCCCCTGCACCCCCACGATCCGCAGGTTTTCCAGCCCGTGGAGGAATGTGAGGATCACTCCGTGTGTCCTGCACGAGCCAGTGCCTGGATCATGCTTTATTTCGCCGTGGCGCTCTTTTGAATGGCATTCACCCCCGCAGAAACTTAATCCTCCCTCCGAGAGCCGCGTCTTTGGCTAATAGCTTCTCTAGCCTCTCCGCTCCCGCCTGGCTGACCCGAAGAGTGAGATGTCCCGATCCCCTATGCAGATCAGGAGTGACGGGGGCTCTGCCGATGGCTGCCTCTCCCCTGAACGGAATCTATGATCCTTAAAGACCAGGCTGCAAGTTCTGTCTCTTTTTTTCCCTCTCGAGCTTTTCATTTTTCCCCTATTCCTCTCCACTATTTGATCCTCTCTCCTTTTTGGGAGCCAAAAAAATCAGCTGTGCTTGGAGACAGCCCTGCCTCCTGTCTAATTCCCCGGCCTCCCCCAGGGCAAATGAGAGAAAAGAAAACAGGGCTGGGCAGAAAACGAATCTGCGCGGCTGTTTTCTCCTTTTCTTTCGCATCCCTTCTCCTTTCTTTTCTTTTCCCCTGCAGAGAAGTCTCAGATCCAGGCAAGAATCCCTTCATCCTAGGGACACACAGAGCAAGGGCGGCTTCGCGGATTCGGGGACCCATTCCTAGAGCCAAGGGGGAGAGGAGACGGGAGTTGGTCGATGCACACGCTTGGTGCAATGTTGTGCAGCGCGACAACAGACAACTTGGAACGTGTCCGTAGTGTAGCACTCGGGTACGTGTACGTGATGTGCAGGAAGCATGTGTGCTCCCACGGCGCCTACGTGGGTAATACACTGGGTGAGTTGTATGTGTCGGTGCAGCGGGGTGCTGGGCGCGGGGGGGGGGGGGCACGGCCTTATTGTGACGAGTGATGCTTGGGTGTGTTTGTGTAGTGCACGTGGGTTTGCACATTTGTCCAGGCATGTGTGTTCTCCACGGGTGTGCATTTGCATGTGGCCCAAGCGTGCCCGGCTGCTTGTGCACAAGTGTGTGTGTTTGCACTGCACATGATGCACGTCGTCTGCTGGCCTTGCACGGTTGCATTGACCCATTGTCAGTGTTTGTGGCTGCTAGGGCGCCGGTCTGCCTTTCCCCGTCCTTCAGGCATACAGGCGTGTTGGTGCGCGGCAGCGATCGCGGCCGTGTGGCTGAGCAACAAGCGCCCTCCGCCAAGCTGCCTCTGAACACTTTCGCGGCGATCCTCCGGACGCAGCCTGCACCCACCCGGCGCGCGTGTTCTCCTCGCGGGACAATGGGAGAACCAGCCTCCCGCGGCCGGGTCTGGAGCACGGCTGAGCGCGATCCCGGGGTGAAACAAACACCGCGTCCTCCTGGCATAACAACACGCCAACTGCCGCAGGTCCCTGGAGCGCCTCGGCGGCGGAACTCCGCCTTGCTCGCACGCGCCGCTGCCGGGGGCGCGGGAAGGAAGCGCTTGTCCCCTCTGGCCCAATGCATGAGCTGCGCCGCCTGCCCGCTACGCGCCGGAGCCACCCTCTGTGCAGCCGGTCCGGGTGCTGCTTTTCCCGCCATCCGCTCCATAGGAAAGACACACACGCGCGCGCTGCCTTAGGCAGGGGGCGGGAAATAGTAAATCAAAGTTTCTCTGAGAATCAAATCTGGTCTTTTGTCCGCCAAGGTGGTTAAAAATGATTGGGAGGTAAGATGTGTGCATCATGGAGGAGAAGCTGTTGAAATATTCACCAGCAAGAGAGCGCCCAGGAGCTGCTGGGAGAAGGGTTCTGTGGAGTTTTGCTTGCAGTCCAAGGCGAGATGTGTTTAATGAAGCTATCCAGCCCTCTTGACTGAGTTCCTGCTCAGAGACGCCGCTCTGTGTTTTTCGCAACTAGATTATGCATTAAAGAGGCTAGAAAAAGCGATTCAGGGCAGGGAATATTTTAGCAGGAAACCTTAGGGGGAGACGGGGAGTATTTACTCTGCACTGACGTTTTGCAGGAAAGAAATCCATTAATATTTCTTCTGGTTGTGCACACAACTGGGGCGCTGTACTGGAGATACCAGTGAAATTGATTAGCTCTCTTTGCAGTGGCCGCTGTGGTTTTGTCAACATGTGACGACGACTCAGGAATTTCAAGATACCTAGAGGAGGGACTGTGGCAGACAGGGAAGGGAGTTTAAAGTGATCTGTGCCCCCATGCACCTGTCTCATTACTCTTGCTTTAACTGGCATTGGTATTTATCTCTGCGTGTGTCCACGGATAGCCATGTCAGTAGGATCTTCCAGGACTGGGGGAAGGGGAGTTCATTAACAAGGAAAGAGATTTAAGCCAACCTCTCTGCGTGTCTCCAGCCTCCCTTGGCAGCCTGGCTACCTATCCTATGTACTGCTTCATAGATTTCCTCCATGGCACTAGGACGTTGCCACCACAATGTTCCCCCCAGCACAGGGCGGGCCAGCTCTTTGCAATCAGCAAACGCAAAGCGTAGGAGCCGCCAGCTAGGTTGTCCCTGGCAAGTCTAACTAGGGGAGTTTCCATTCCCCGAAGTCTCTCCCTTAGGAGTTTCCTGCAGGCGCTGAGGGCGTTGCAGAGCTAGTGACTATTCTACACGTGGCCAGAAGTGTAACGTGGAACACAGCTAGCTGGAAAGCCAGATCGCCAGGGAGAGCTCTGTCCATGGGATGCTTGTTTCTCTGAGCACTCTTAGCTCTTTCAGCTCCGGAGCAAAAGAAGTGACCCAGTGAAAAGCCTGACAAAAGCAGGTACTTAGACATATCCAGTCCCCTCCAGTGCAGCTGTGTGCTCGCATTCCTTAGTGCCTGGGCCCCCAATACGCGTCGCTACCACCAGCAGCGGTGCTGTCATCCACGATTACATGCGACCTTTGATGAGAGATCACTAAGGAAAGCAGCTGCCTCTGCTAGTCACACACGTGGATCCAGCAACCTCCCTCCCCAGGCTGGCGGAGGGTTACTCACCCCTCTCTCTCTCTCTTGGATCACTGGATCGAGCTGCCGTAGCTAGAGAGGTGTTACACTGAAGGGGGGAGGAGGGGCTGCACTTGCTAAAGGCACACTGGCAGGTATTGACAAGAATCGTTCCCAGGCTTAAATACACACACACGGCTTATCGCCCAGAGAACGGCTGCTTATTCATTCATGCTCTAACAAATAAGCAATTAACAGATAGAGCTGCTAATTAGTAAGCAGTTATATTATAAACTGTATTCAACCGTGGAAAGGAGCAATAACGTTCAGCAGTGAGTGACTATCAGAGGGGGCGTGAGCCACCCGCCTAGCTGGACTATAAGGACCAGTTTCCTATGAATGGGGCGGAGGGCAGATAGAGTTTATAACAGGTCCATATTCCTCCCCAGCTCAGGATCTGAGAGGGCGGTGGCTTTATAAAGACGGGTTAAAGGAACACTCCGACAAGTAGTTGGAAGTTTGCGGCAGCTCGGGGCGGAGGTGCCTCCAAACTTTCCTATGAGTAGAAAATGTTTCCTGGCTTTTGAGAAGTTTCAATAGGCCCTGTTTTGTGAGGGATTTAACCCCCCCCCCCTTTAGGTAGGCGCAAGTGGGAAGCGAAACCGCCTGGAGATAGAATGAGGGAATTGATCACAACAAGGAACCAAGCAGCGAGAAGCGTTAGGTTTTCAGATTTAATACACGTTGTTACCAGTTACACGAAGAAATACATTTTTAATTAGCAGTGGGGTACGCATCTGGCGTGGTTTGTAATTTATGAAATCCGTGTCAAGGTTTTTAATAGAGCTGCTAACCCAAATTAAGGATTTGTGCCAGCAAAGAGTTACAGAGCTAGCTGAATAGTGCACACTAATCCAGCATTATTCGCTCCGAGTTTTAAATTAATTTGCTGTCGCCATATTCATACCCCTTTTCTGTTAGCTTTTCGTGAATATTCACATGATTCTCTTTGCCCGAGCAATTGATCGTGGAAAATGAGGTTCAAAGTAATCTGCCAACGTATTTGCAGCAGCCACATTTTAAATCAGCTCACACAAGTATTTTGCGCCCGAAGTACCTGTGAACTCATCCAATTAGGGAAGAGAAAAAAGATATCCGAATTAACTGACTAATCAGAGCTCAAAACAATGCGGCTTGAATAGCAAACGGGGGATACTTGCAGCGAACAGTCTGAGCTCAGCCTACGGAGTTAAGCAGAGTAATTGAATAATGAGTAATTAGAAGAAACGGATCTGTTGGTAGGTATTCGGGGAGCAATCAGGGCCTACCCTTGTTGAATTATTTATGAATTAGTTGCTCAGGTCTAATAAGGTAACATTAAAAAATATTAATTTCCAGCGTTTCCACCGAGAGCCATAAACCAACAGCCTCACACACAGCCCAACCTTGTTTACCTGGCACAGAATGATAATAGGTACCGGAGCCTCCAGTGATCCCAACTTGTCAAAAAGATAGATCAGGGTGGGTGCCCCTTTCCTCAAATGGTTTATGGAGAACTCATTTGTCCCATCCTCCCGACGGATAATAAGTGCTTGGCGTCCCTTTGCCAGCCCCCACTTGTCAAGTGAGCCCTGCCTTTCTGAAATATTTACACCTCCTCCATCGCATATTTCACTGCTCCAGGGCGAGGGAGTCACGCTCTGGAACAGCTGTCGTGTGCACAGAGAGGCAGCCCTATCGGGCGCCCCGGCCCCGTGCTAGCTTGGAATGATGAACTGGGCGAGGCCAAGGCCCGGGTCCTGTATCATTAATTCTCTTTGTGGCAATGTTTTCCTGCGCCAGCCCAGCGCACTCCATCACTGCGTGCCTCTCCCGCTGACGTGCAGACGAAGCTGCTATCTCCCTGCGCCAATCATCGCCTGCTGCTGTCTGACATTTCCATCACCTCGCTCTGGCATCTCCCCCCACCCCTCCGGGAGTCTCGCAAGTACCCCGGAGGCTTGGGCTTTATGCAGGGGAGAGCGCGTTCGGTTTGCCCAGCGTGTCTGCTGTTAGGGTTGCACATGAGAAGTCAAAATAAACAGAGACATAAAAAGGGAGGGGGAGGGAAAGGAAAAGCCAAGGAACCCCTGGAAAGTCCTGGCGGAGCTAAGGAGGCGTCGCCGGTAAGAGCTGGGGAAAAGGGACAGCGCAGCTCCTAGAGCTAGGGAGGTAGATGAGAAAACAAGGGAATGGTAACAGTGCAGGGAGGGGGGCAGACAGATGGAGACCCAGGGAAACGCCTCACACCGGTGTGAGACGAGATACACAGCGAGGGAGGGGCAGGCCTGTAATTATACAGAAGACTGGGGTGGGCAGCAGAGGAATACCTATAAGGCGGCAGCACAGAAAACAATGCCCCTAATGCCACCCTGTGCTTCCATTCCTAGATGCTCCTGCACTCTGAGAGTCTGTCTACACAGC